ATGGAGAGAACCATATAGAAACATAAGATTTATTAAGTTAAAATTTAGTTACAAATTTAATCTTAGAAAAAAATTATACTATTAGAAAACAAAGTTTCAATTTATAATTTATAAATATTAACTTCATTAAAATTATATGTAGCTATTTGATGAAAAAATTTATTTAAAAAAATTATGTCTACCTCAAACATCTAATTATTTTATATCATGCAGCTAAATACAGAATTCTGAAAATGGATTCTGATTTTTACCTAAATGATTAGCCTCTTGAAAATCTGGAATGCAATTTCTAAAATGTATTCATCACATAAGACCTATATTTTAAAATATGAAAGAATAAATTTAAATTTAGGGAATAACATTGAACTATAAAATCAAAATCCCTATTTTTCTAACATCAAAAACTTGGTAGATTCAGGACAGAAAAACTTTGTCATACTCAATCCTCTAAAATACATAATATTACAATGATATTTTAAGTATTGTTATTATAATAAATATTATTATTTTGATGTATGTACTAAGATACCTAGCTCTTCAAAGACTTAAAATGTCGATCAAGATATACATGATCTATTGTTCTTGAAAAAAGAAATCTATAATTGAATTTTTTAAACTCCAACTAAAGGTGTAATATTGGCCCCAAACTGTGAGCCAGATATGGTGTGTAGTTTCCTATCAGAGTTGTAACAAATTACTAATAACATAGCAGCTAAAAACAACAGATAAATATTTGCTATCTCTCAGTTTCCGTGGTTCCAAAGTCTGGGCAAAAACATACTGTGTTGAGCATTGATCAACTGGGTTCTCTGCTAGGGTCCCACAAGCCAAAATTAAGTTTGTGCAGGGGTCAGTTCCTTCCTGGAGGACCTGGTGAAGAATCAGCCTCCAGGTTTATTCAATATGTTGGCAGAATCAATCTCCTTCTCATGTTTTCCAGGTAGTCCCCTCAGTTTTCAAGCCAGCAACAAGGTGAATGTTCTTCTCAGACTTTAAATCTCTCTGATTTCTTTTTATGCTATATCTGTTTTTAAGGCTCATGTGATTATATTGATTCCACATGGATAATCCAGGATAATCTCCCTATGTTAGACCAACATACTAATCAAAAAAACCAAACTCACTGCCATCAAGTCAATTCCAACTCACTGTGACTCTATAGGACAGAATAGAACTGTCCTCAAAGGGTTTCCAAGGCTGTATATCTTTGTGGAAGTAGACTAGACTGCCTCATCTTTCTTCTGGGGAGCTGCTGGTGGGTTCAAACTGCTGACCTTTTGGTTTACTGCCAAATGCTTTAACCACCGTGCCACAAGACATCCTTTGATCAATTGATTACTAACCTTAAATACTTTTTACTATATAATGTAATATAACCACAAATCATCACCAAAGCCTGAAGGTCATTGATATCAACATTCTTATATGGTGAAACTCTGCATTTTCCTCTCACATTTTGTGATGTTCTATTATTCCAAATGTTCAGTTTTGCTATTGGTTTAGATATTAAATTTTAAATGTAAACCAAATTAAATGTTTATGTAAATAAAATGCTAAATGCTTACAATCACCCACCTATCACTTAAAATGTAATCATTTAAAGTTAACAGCAGTTAGTAATAGGAATGAAAAGAAAAGTTACCTTTTACCACTGTCTTTGTCTCTGGTTTTTCTTTTTTCTCCATTTTCTCCTTGACAGTTGCTTAAACATAAAAATTTACATTAGTATCCAATTTTACTCGAATTCAAGATCAAGTTTTTTGTTTAACTAACTTTTACACCCACCAACATCGTAGATTATCTTGAAGATATATGACATCAATGAGTCTAATTTACAAATATAGAGCTGTTGATGTGGTAATAACTATATGGGATGAAATTTAAAAGACTTGGCATTAAGACTTACAAAGAATTTTGAAACCTAAATCCATCTTCCTTTTTTAGATCATTATTTCAAATAAATAAAGCTTTTAGGATAAACAGAGAAAGAGGAATTTTATAAGAATCTGCCCAAAAGAAGTATCATTAGATCAAGAAGCACCCTTTTTAGGATTAATAAGAGAAAATATTTAAATCAGGACCAGGAGTTCAACTAATCATAATGTTTCTCAGCAGAGGCACAATTGATATTTGGGAAGGAATAATTCCTCCACTGTAAGGGGCTGATTTATGCATTGCAAAAGTACATAGCCTTCCTGGGCCCTATTTACTAAACGATTTTAGACCTATGTTCCAAGTCATTTGGACAAACAAAACTTTTCAAATACTCCCTAAGGAGGTTGAAAATCACTAGTATAATACAAAGACATAAGTAACAAATTACTAATTGAATGTAGCTTCTTAATTGCACGGCATTGGACATGATACCTGAAACAATATACTTCCTCATTATTTTTAATAAACTTATAAATCTATGTTAATTTATTTTATTAACTTCTATTTTCTTTGCATACACTAGTAAAATCTTGTGTCTCAATAGTTTAGGTAACAGAGTTATAAAAGTAAAATAGTACATACATCTTATTTTTATATTTCAAATAGATTAAATTGTATGCTTTAGTAATTTCCCAAATCATACGTTTTTCTCAACATTTACATATTATTTATTGGAGAACAACAATGAAATTTAAAGAGATTATAGAAAACTAAATAATAAAGTGAGAGATTTACTTAAACAATTGATTTAAAGAAAGAACCAAATTGTTAGAGAAAAAATCTGAGCCCAAATATTTGCAGTTTTCCACCTATATAATAACAAGATCATCTGTTCTTACTTCCTCTGAGCTTCTGGGTAGATTTGAACTGTCAATCTTCATGTCAGTAGTCAGTGTAATTCATACAAAAAGATCCTTTAATTGGCATACAATAGATAAAAGCACACTTACAATGAAGCATTTTATTTCTGCATTCTGGTTTGGTCAGACCACCTACAATATTTGTAAATTAGGGCAACAAATTCTCTAATTTTTTTTTAAAGAAAAATATTTAGCCACTCAGATTTTAAAAAATCACAAGTAGTATCAGATTATTTTATTTAGAGTACAGTGAATTAGATGCTAACATTTCTATACACCTCAATAACGAATAGGAATGGGGAGCTGTTTCTAGAACAGAGAAAGAAGATGGCTGTGAAATTCATTGAAATTATTACTGATTAAATATTCATTAAAAAACAAATTTTTAATTCAAATTCTCAAATGTAAATATATTGTAAAGAAGACTAAAGTATGTTTCAACACTTCAGATTCCCAAAATGTCATAAAACCTGAGTGTGATGTTTCACAAAACAAGGAAACTCAGTGGGCTTTGCAGACTGTGGACTCATAAATTAGCTGAAAAGTAGACCAAATATCTTAGATATGATCCAACCAGAAACATCCTCTCTCAGTAACTCTACAACTGCCAGGATTATTTGGTCATTAAATAGGTATCATATATTGAAATAGATTTTTGATAAATAAAGTATAAAATATGAAACTACTTCAAAAAAAACACTTAAAGGAAATATTGGTAGCTACTAAATTAATCTTCAGATAAAGATTTAAACCAAAAATAGTGAAAGGAAATATCAAGGTATGTAGCCTCATAATATTAAATAGCCTAAAAATAATCTAAGGAAATACTCATAACAATTTAAATAAAATGAAATGTATATTTGTAATGGATTGAATTGTGTCTTTTCAAACCAAGCGTTGGAATCCTATGTGGGAATTGTTTGCTTTGTTATGTTAATAAGGCCATATCAGAGTGGGCTGTGTCAGGAGCTACAGAGACACAGAGAAGCACAAATGGCGAAAGACAGATGTAACATGAAGATGACCCAGGAAACTAGGAATTCTGAGGGTTATGGCAACTGAGAAAGGACCCTCCCCTAGAGCCAACAGAATGCTTTCTCCAGTAGCCAATGCCCTAAATTTAAACTTCTATCCTCCTACACTGTGAGGCAATAAATTCCTGTTCTTTCAAGTTACCACTTGTAGTACTTGTGTTATAGCAGCTCTAAGAAACTAAGGCACTGTGTCTAAACTCTGAATGTCAGGAGGGAGGAAAAACGGGAAGAAGCCATTGTGCAAAAATATCAGTAAGAACAACTCCATACCTTTCCGTTCAGGCTTTTCTTTTTCTTTGCCCTTGACCTTTTCTTTTTCTTTTTCTCTGTGTGTAACTGTAAAGAAATAGGTAACATTTTTCATTTAAATAAAGGGAATAAATGAAAAGATGATTGCATGCTGTTTTTTTATGTCAAAATCTTACCTGCTGCTTTCTGAAATCTACCTTTCTCACAAGGCTTTACAAGGTTTCCAACTTCAAAATAATTACAGATCTATTTTTTTTTCTATTTCTATTTTTATTTCAGATTTAATGATAGATTAGTACTCAAACCTTCAAACACTTCTAGAGGGGTGGAAAAAAAATCAAACCATTTGCCAAAGAACCTAGCTTTGGTATTGGATGAACATCACAGATATAGAGAAAAATATAAACAGAAGATTTTAAACCTGGAACAAAAACAATCAGACTAAATAGTATGTGTCAACCCTCTACAGAAACGTTCCACTATAAAAGTTTATGACAGCATACTAGGATGAACCAAGGATCACACCAAATCTATTCAAAGGTAACAAAATTTCATTTGAGTTATGATCCAATGAATACAACAGGTTTCAAGTTTAAGTTATAATCTTATCTCATACTTTCTTCATTATTCTAATTAATGGCATCTCCAGTTGCCCAAGCCAGAAACATGGCCCTTACACAGATTATTCTTTCATTTTCTGTGTGGTCAACAAATGCTTTCATTTCTACACTGTTAACATTCCTCTTAACCCAGCCAACCAATCCATTGCCATCAAGTCAATCCCAATACCTAGTGACCTCATAGGGTGGAGTAGGATTTCCCATAGGATTTCCAAGGCTGTAAGTCTTTATGGAAACATATTGCCTTGTCTTTCTCCCATCAAGTGGTTGTTGGGTTCAAACCATTCATCTTTTGGTTAGCAGCCAAATGCTTTAACCACCGCACCACCAGAAGTCTTACCATCCTTCTTACTCATCCATTTACTGCAATACTACATTCTCTGCATATCATTTATTTATACAAAAATATAAAAAAGGGAACTGCTATGTGCTTAAGACTCTACTAGGCAAGACAGGCTACATCCTTGTCATCATGACGTCAACAACCTAATGGATGATACATGCTAAATAGCTATCTACAAATGCAGATAATTGCACTTAATAGAACTGCTTTTTAAAATACTCAGAGTGACATGTCCATGTATGAACTGGAGCCTGATCTTGTCTATATATTGTGGAAGGCCTTTTAGAATTGGCAGTTAAGCCTGTGAATGATGATAAGAAATTATCCCAGTAAGTGGGAAAGAAAGGAAGAGGGGAAAAGACTATTCCAGAAAATTGGAGCACAGTGTCTATTTGGCATTCAGAATATTGATGTCCTCATCATTCATTCCTCACTGAGATGATTATAATAACATATGATAAGATCCTTGAGCTTTTAGATTTAGATTTTTCTCCCTCAGATTAATCTTTCTAACATAAAAACCTGATAATATCATTCACCTGTTCACAACTTTCAGTGTCCTTTTTATGGGTTAGCATGATGTTTGGCACATAATAGGTGCTTTATAAAATATGTAAATATTCCATTGCTCTATGACATTTTCTTACAAACTCAACTTCATGCCAGGCAGTTTGCTTTGAAAAGTACACTCCTGTAATAATAACAAAATAGTCAATGCTTTAGAGTTGTGTTGTTGGTGAAGAATTCTGAAAGTACCATGGTCTGCCAAAAGAACACACAAATCTGTCCTGGAAGAAGTACAGCCAGAATGCTCCTTGGAAGCAAGAATGGCCAGATTTTGTCTCACCTACTTTGGTCATGTTGTCAGAAGGGACCACTCCCTGGAAAATGTTATCGTGCTTGATAAAATGGAGGGTCAAAATAAAAGGGGAAGGCCCTCAACAAGATGGATTGACACAGTGGCTGCAGCAATGGGCTCAGGTACAGCAGGGATTGTGGAGCTGGCCCAGGGCCAGGCAGTGTTTTGTTTAGCTGTGCATAGGGTCGCTATGAGTCAGAGATGACTCAACGACATCTAACAACAACAACAACAATAACAAAATTCTTGCAGCTCCACAAACACATGTGTCCTCCTAATGCCTCTGCGTCTCTGTATGTTTGAGCCTTCCACCAAGAATTCCCACATCCACATTTCCTCTCTTCCATTCATCCTGTCAAATTTTGTTCAAATGCATTCTCTATTTGTATAGTTTTCCTTTACTACACATTTTATATACTGACGGTACCATGCACATAATTCAATTTCAGCACTTAAATTATGATACTACAATTGTTCTTATGTCTGTCTCATAAGTAAGTAAAATATCTTTGGAGACGACAGTACATCATCCCTAGCTCATTGCACAGTCCCTGTCACATAGTGAGTTCTAAAAAATATTTTTGAATAAACAAAGTATTGAAATATTATAAGAAAAACTATGAAACAATGACAACAATGAACTTGTCCTTTTCACTCAAAGATTTTCAAGTTGAAGTGTGCACAGACAGTTCAAAATCAAAGCAAGGAGGTTGAATTCAGACTTGAATTAGCTATAAATATATCTCTTTCTCTTGAAATTGATTTTCTAGTGAAAGTCTATATGTTGTTGATGTGGTATAGATTGGTATAGATGTAACAGGCAGTGCTTGTTCTCAATCATTTATTTTTTTAAAAATAATTTATTAAAGTTTCTTAATTAAAATCTAGTGAGAAACAGGAGCTAGGGGCACTGCTTTAGACCACACAGATGTCATTTTTTCCTTTAACATTCCATGGTTCTTTTAAGTGTTTGTGAGCTACTATATTCAATATAAATCTCTCTCTCAAAGCTGGGGGAAGCTATCAGCATTTACACAGGATGAAAGACAGCTGATTGTCGTTCCTTTGGATCATTGTTAATTAAACTCAAAACCAAAGGAAAGTCTTGGCACAAAGAAAGCCTATTTCACAGTTTCTCAAGGGGGAACCAAGTTCCTGTGAGATAAACTATGCTGTAGGAACCCAGATTGGAAAAGCTCCCTAGAGATCACCTAATCTGTGTGTCTGCCTCAGTGAAGGACTGGACCTCACCCACCTCAGACAGCTGGTTGTCCATTCCATTAAAGGATTTTCAGATTGACGAGTGCATAGGCATAAAAGGGAAAATTAATACAAAATCAAAGGAGCAAGGGACTGAATTCAGACTTGAATTAGCATATAAATGCCTTATTCCTGTTACCCTGGGGACAATCTGATTCCTTCCAGTCTAAATTTTGATTTACAGACACAGAACTGTATGCTGGAATTTCATTATCCCCCTCAGAAATGGCACCATAATACTGGTTAGTGAAGCAGCTGGACCCATATGCTCTAGGGAGTTGTTCAAAATGGCAGACAGCCATGAAAGCTTCTTGGAAGGAAACTTCAAACTTTGGCAAAGACCGAACTTGAATACCAAGTTTTGAAAATTCTTTTATCAAAACAAATGCACAGTCAGTAACTCCTTTAATAATCACTCTAAAACAAAAATAATTTGCTGCAACAACTGCATTTGTTTGTTCATATCTTTGCTTATAAAACACAACCAGGAGTTTTCAAATGGCAGAAGAAGTAGAAAAATACCTTCGCTTCACACAGCTAAGTTATATCTTAGCCAGGACAGTTTTAGCTTGGGACAAAATAAATTATTAATTTATTTGTCATCTTATTTACAAGAAACAAAAGTCCCTTCGGTATGCTTATAATTTAAAACAAATGGGATCCACCAGTTGGAATGGTCCTGATGGTTGGCATCTGTGTTGGCATGGCCCTGTTGTTCCTGTACTTACACAGATTCTGACCTTTCTCTGACCAGAACATCCAGCTCAGCTTAACTCTGAAGTGCATCTCTCACCCTCCACATATGGTCCCTCTCCAGTTCTCCTCAAACTGTGCTCTGTACTTTCATAGCACGCTTAGTCCTGGCTGCCCGCCAGCCAGGCAGCATGTCCTTTTCTGAAGTGTCTCAGAGCTCAGTGTGGCTGATCCTGTGATTCTTGTGCAGCAAATCACTGCCTAAGGGCAAAACTGTAGGAATTTGTAGGCCAGGTTGTTAACAGTCCTTTGCTGATCTACCTCCTCTTATTTAGAAAATCAAAAGCTTTGGTACTGAATTTTGAAGTAGTGATTTGTGTAAACCACTATACTTTCCAACTTATGGTTAGAATATAAATTTAATTAACCAAAACTGTGGAACTTAAACTTGAAATTCATAGCTACTAGACAGGAGTAATCTTGAGTATCTAAAGTGAAAGCAATTATTCTGAGAAAACATACATTATGTGGATGGAAAATACAGCAAAAACAGGAATAATCAAGTAAACACCATTATAGTATTGTATTAGGAAAGTCTTTGAGGACTGCGCTTACCTGTAATAAATCTTAGTTATTTTTCTTTAATTGATTGTTCAGCTTTTCAGATTTCTTTTGCTTTGTCTGTGTGTGTGTGGGGTATGTGTGGAGTATTAGCAATAAAGTATTTTATAAAATATAAATATGTAAACATTTCAAATGGCCCCATAAAATTAATATACTTTTCTGTTTTAATGCTGCTGCTGCTTCCTTTTTTTTTTTTTTTTTTTAATGAAAGAGTATAATAAGAATTTGTTTCAAACCCTTTAAAAATATCTGTTTCAGCTGCCACTAAATGAAAATGCCAACTGTATGATTTTGGTCAATGAGTATGTGTGCGTGTTTCATTCTTTTTTTTTGTGTGTGATTAATTTGCAAAATGATCTATATGCTTTAAGAGATAATGAGGAACTCAATAGAAACACATTCACGAATAGAAACTTTTCAAAGAATTTGTTATTCATTCTTCCTAAGGAAACAATATTTAATTTAATATAAGCACACAACTTAAGAACTGGTAGAAATCTAAAAAATCAAGTAGCCTGAACATTTCTGCTCATGGAAAAGGAAACAGACTCAGGAGTCCACAGCAGCACATGTGATATTAATTGGAAAATAAAGCAATTATCTGTCTTGTTCAACCAGTACTCCTTCTCCAAAATTATGCTGTCTCTTTGGCCTGATTCAGACTACAGTTTTCATGAGCCAAAGAATT